GGGAGGGGCAGAGAGAGAGGGAGACACAGAATCGGAAACAGGCTCCAGGCTCTGAGCCATCAGCCCAGAGCCTGACGCGGGGCTCGAACTCACGGACCGCGAGATCGTGACCTGGCTGAAGCCGGACGCTTAACCGACTGCGCCACCCAGGCGCCCCGACAGTAGCTTTTAAAGAACGCACATATATACTATACTATGTACTGCAATCATAAGTTCTGCTAAGCCCTTGAGCCTGGTGATCTGGACATATTCCATGGTAGCACTGGCAACAATATTGACTCTAGATGAATATACAAGTTCCTTTCTGGGAGATACATGTAAGTTGTAGTGAGTCAGAGGGAGAAGGCAAAGATGGCATACCTAACCTGTATTCCCTGAGAGAGCTTCCATGGCCTTTAGATGTGTGCCAAGCCTACAATCTGCCCTTATGTCTGAAACTCCATGACTAGCAAGTACATCTCTTTTACAAAAAGTCTGGGGATGTGTTTCTGTCTGTTATCTGTGTAGTGTTCTGTGGATTCTAATCTGCCAAGAATTGTCTCTCTGATTGTTATAGTCTCTTGAGACCCAGGAATACAAGCTCGTCTCCCAACCCCCAGCCACCAGATCCTGGTGATCAAAGGGTGTCCCCTGGGCAGCAGCCATAGAAACCAAGGCATCAAGGGATAAGGGACTTGTATGAAAGCTTACTTTGAGAGATGCTAGTGCTCTGGTAGAGCATGGTGGAGGGAGTGGGCATGAAGTTGGTATCCTTCCTCCAGGTCTCAGGAAATGTTTACAGTCAATCCTTAAATTGTCTTTAATTAGAAAAGACTGCCCTTCAGGCTGAATCTATATAGCCTGAAGCTAATAGGTCTCTTTAACAGAAAGATTGAACTCCTGTATCTGTTGCTTTGTGCTGTGATCTGGGTGTGGTACTGTTTAAAAGCTTTTACTCCATTTGTTACATTCCTGTGGGACCCATGAGTATAAGCCCTACAGGTTATGAGAACCAGTCAATATAGAGATGCCCCCTGAAAGCAACTGCAAAAATTAGGGCACCAGAAAAGGGTATATGCTCCTTTCCGGAAGATACTAACTAAACTAACTAAACTAACCAAACTAAACTAACTAAACTAAAGCTAACTGAACTAAAGCAGAGGGAGAGTGCAAAGATTATATCCACTGCCCTTAATTCTCTCAGGACTTCTAAAGACGTTCCTATAATTGTGCTAAACCAGAAACCTGCCCCTCAGGCCAAATCTCCTGGAAAAGGAAATAGCCTCTTGTTTAGAAAGATGGGCAGTGTGTTTCAGTGTGCTATCTGTTCAATGCCCTGGGATTTATAGTCTGCCAAGAACTTTCTCTTCAATTGTTATAGTCTCATGGGACCTAAGAACTCAGGTCCACCTTTATCTCCATAGCCAGGTGATCAAGGGACATCCATTAGGTGGCAGCTATAAAAACCATGTCACTAGATATAAAAACTAGAGCACCAGATATGTGTAGAAGCTGCCCTCGGGGATATACTGGTGTTCTGGAATGCAGTAGAAAGAAAGTACAAAGATGGCATCTACCAAAAAAAGGAAAGAAATAGAAAAGAAGAAAAAGGAAAGGAAAGAAGCATTAAGGGTGACATCACAGGAAAGGGGGTTGGGGAAAGATGGCATCTTTCAGCTTTAGCAGGGAAGGGAACGTGCAGGAAGAGGTCATCCACTAGCCTCTGATACTGGAGAGTAATCCAGTAGGTCCCTGCCCCTCAGACCCAGTGCTTTAGAATTAGGAAATGAGTCTCTTCCACCAGAAGTCTGGGCGGTTTCCAAAGGACCACTTCTGCATTGCGCCCTGGGGT